GCGGCTCCCGATGATGCGGTTTCCGGAGATGTGGCCCCGAAGTAGATTAGGTTCTTTTGTTTTGTTTTTGTGTAAAGCCTTTGTGGGCATTGTAAATATTTTCTACGAATATAAGAAGTTCCCTTTCTTTTCACTTTACCTTCGATTTGTATTGATTTCTGCTTCGCTTTTATTTGTGAAAAGCTTTGATGTTACAATTTCAATGATCAAGTGAGCTTTGGCTCGGACTCAGAATAAACCCTTAGGTTTTTAGTGATCAGTGGGCGATTTTTGAACTTATAATAATAGAATACCTCTTAAGGTTTTTTGGTTAACCCACGAGCGATGCTCAAATTAATTTGATGTGAGTCCGAGATGATGGGACTCTTGAGTCCGAGTTGAGTGAGAGCAAGGTCTCGAACTCTACATGTTTCGGCCCTTAGGCTCTTTTTGTATTGGACCTTTGGCTCTTTTAGGTTGGCCCTTAGGCTCTTCAAATTAGGCCAATTCGGCCTCTAAGACGGCTATAATATTTCCCTCTTTTTGGCTAAAAGACTTAGTAAAAATTTATTTATGCCTTAGCATGTGTTTTTGTACCCGTTGGGCTTTTCGAAAGTTCAATCGATCGAAACCTTATTCATAATCTATTTGGGTTACGATAATTAAATACCTCTTGAGGTTTTTTCGAAGGCTGATGTTATCGAAGCCTTCGAGGGCTGATTTTATCGAAGCCCTTTTTTTATTTGCTTTTTCTGAGGGTAGCCTGATTTAACCGGTTTTTCCAAAGTATTAGAAGGCCTTTAACTTATGGCGGAAGTCGGACGTCTCCAAGCTGCATTATTTCGGCCGTAGCCTTTTTATATGACTGTAGTCTTCAATATGGCCGTAGCCTTCGGGTATGTCTCTTGGACTTGTTTCCCGATAACCTTTCGAACTTGTTCAAAAGGTTAGTCCCCGAGTATGATGACCTCGGCCTTTATATCGAGGGGATGCCTCTTTGAGGTCTTATGAATTTGAGTTTTCGATGACTCGAATGTGTTGACTGTCGATGACAGTCCCCGAGTATTCGAGATGTATTTGTGTTCTGGCCCTTAGCCCGTTTCTCGTAGAATTATAAGTGTAAAGCTCATATAATAGTAGACTTCTTTGAGACACAAAGTGTTTTGATATGGAAAGAATGCTTCTTTGAATAATTGATACATGTGTACATGTTTTGCCGTCGGGTCTCGACTATTCTATATTGACGCGGTTCATCTGACCGTTTGGCCCATTACAAAGTTCTTCTATCGAGGCCCTCTTTGGCGTGAAGTATTTTCCTTGAAAATATATCCTTCGAGGGTGATGCCCCCCAGTATTCGAGGTTGATTGAAAAGAAACCTTGGATATTGTTGAGTTCTCCTTAGGTAGCACATAGTTGTTGCCTCGTTAAAAACCTCGTCGGTAAAACCCATTTGGGATAAAATCCAATCTAAGAAAAAAGAGTGCAACACGTGCTTTAAAACCTAAGGTCTTCATGTAAAAATGTGCCCTCGATATCTTCGATCGAACACCTGCAGTGGGTTAATTCAAATGGACAAAGGAGAAAGTCGTACCTTAGCAGTAGTATCGATTGAGTAGTGATACATTCCAATTATTCAGCAATTGTTCGCCCTCCGTCGTGCCGAGTTTGTAATATCCTTTACCGACAACTCCGATGACTTGGTACGGTCCTTCCCAATTCGGGCCTAGCTTCCCTTCATTTGGGTCTCGAGTATTGAGGGTGACTTTCCGTAGAACTAAGCCCCCAATTCTAAAGTGTCGAAGGTTAGTCCTTCTATTATAATATATCTCGATTCTTTGTTTCTGCGCCGCCATACGAACAAGCGCATCTTCTCATTTTTCATCTAACAGCTTGAGGCTAGTGTTCATAGCCTCGTGATTTGACTCATCCGATGCATGTTGAAACCTGGAGCTGGGTTCTCCGACCTCGACCGGGATTAAGTCCTCAAAGCCATTTACTAAAGAGAATGGAGTAACCCCCGTGCTAGACTTTGATGTTGTTCGATATGCCCAAAGGACCTCAGGTAGAACTTCTCTCCATTTTCCTTTTGCATCGTCCAACCTCTTCTTCAAGTTTTGAATGATGGTTTTGTTTGTTGACTCGGCCTGCCCGTTCCCGGTCGGATGATATGGTGTTGATAGAATCCTCTTTATTTTGTGTGCTTCGAGGAACTTTGTTACCTTGTTGCCGATGAATTGCTTGTCGTTGTCGCATACGATTTCGGCATGTATCCCGAATCGACACACGATATGGTCCCAAATGAAGTCAATAACTTCCTTTTCTCTGACCTTCTCGAAGGCCTATGCTTCCACCCATTTAGAAAAATAATCAGTCATAAACAAAATGAATTTAGCTTTACTGGGGCCGTTGGTTGAGGGCCGACTATGTCCATTCACCATTTCATGAAAGGCCACAGGGACAAGACTAAGTGTAGTTGCTCTCCGGGCTGATGAATCATCGGTGCGAACCTTTGGCATTTATCACACCTTTTAACAAACTCCTTGGTGTTTTTTTCCATACTATCCTAGTAATACCTTGCTCTGACAATTTTGCGAATCAAAGACTCGGTGCCAGAGTGATTCCCACAAGTGCCTTCGTGAATTTCTTGTAGAACATAATTGGTATCCCCGGCCCTAAATATACCGGCAATGGTCCATCGAACGTTTTTCTATATAATGTTCCATCTTCATCTAATGTGAACCTAGCAGCCTTGGTTTGTAGAGCCCTCGATTCTTTGTGATCCGATGAGAGCTTTCCATTTTTCAAATAATCGATATACTTATTTCTCCAATCCCAATTCAAGCTCGTAGAATTTATTTCGGCATGACCCTCTTCAACCACGAATCTCGATAACTGGACGATAGTCTCTGGGACAATGTCGTCTTCTTCGACCGATGATCCTAGATTTGCAAGCGCATCGGCCTCACTGTTTTGCTCTCGAGGCACGTGATCCAAGGTCCATTCCTTGAAGCGGCGCAACGTCACCTATAATTTGTCCAAGTATCTCTGCATTCTATCCTCCTGAACTTCGAAGCTTTTGTTCACTTGGTTCACCACCAATAGGGAGTCGCATTTGGCTTCGATGACTTCTGCCCCAAGCTCTTAGCTAGCTCGAGACCTGCAATCATGGCCTCATACTCGGCCTCATTGTTAGTTAAACTAGAAGTTTTGATAGATTGTTTGATAGTACTTCCCATGGGTGGCTTCAAAATAATTCCGAGCTCGGACCCTTTCACATTCGAGGCACCGTCCATGAAAAGGGTTCATACCCTCGATGATGTACCCAATCCTAGCAGAAGTTCTTTTTCTACTTCGGGTATGAGGATTGGCGTAAAATCGGCCACGAAGTCAGCCAAGATTTGGGACTTGATAGCCGTTTGGGGTTGATACTCGATATCGTAACCACCAAGTTCGACTGCCCATTTGGCCAATCGGCCTAATAATTCAGGCTTATGCAAAACATTTCGGAGAGGATAAGTAGTTAATACACATATGGGGTGACATTGAAAATATGGCTTTTACTTTCTAGATGCGCTTATCAATGCAAGTGCTAAATTTTTCTAAGTGAGGTTATCTAGTTTCAGCATCTCATAGGGTTCGACTTACATAATAAATAGGGAATTGCGTATCTTGCTCTTCTCGAACTAGTACTTCACTTACCGCCATCTCGGACACTGCCAAATATAAATAAAGCTTTTCATCTGCCTTCGGGGTATGAAGCAAAGGTGGGCTCGATAAGTATCGCTTCAATTCTTCTAAGGCTTGCCCGCATTCCGAGGTCCATGCGAAATCCTTTTTCTTTTTGAGCAAGGAAAAGAACCTATGACTTCAATCTGATGACCTCGAAATGAATCGACCCAAGGCGGCTATTCGTCCTGTTAGCCTTTGCATGACTTTTACACTATCCACGATGGTGATATCCTCGATGGCATTTATCTTATCGGGGTTGATCTTGATTCCTCGATTAGATACCATGAAGCCAAGGAACTTGCCCGAGCCAACCCCGAAGGCACATTTTTCCGGGTTAAGCTTCATGTTGTACTTCCTCAAGATTTCGAATGTTTCCTGCAAATGAGTTAAATGGTCCTCTGCGCGCAGGGACTTAACTAACATATCGTCAATGTAAACTTCCATCGATTTACCTATCTGTTCCCCAAACATCTTGTTAACTAGGCATTTATATGTAGCTCCAGCATTTTTTGGCCCGAAGGGCATTACATTGTAACAGTATGTTCCAAACTTAGTGATAAACGAGGTCTTCTCATGGTCCTCTGAGTTCATTTGAATTTGATTATACCCAGAGTAGGCGTCGAGAAAGATTATGTTCTCGTGGTCGGCCGTAGCATCGATCATGTGATCGATGTTAGGCAATGGAAAGGAGTCCTTAGGGAATGCCTTGTTTAAATTTTTATAATCCACGGACATTCTAAGTTTGTTTCCCTTTTTAGGAACTATGACCACATTGGCTAACCACTCAGGGTACTTTACTTCCCAAATAGACCCTATTTTAAGAAGTTTGGTTACCTCATCCTTTATAAATGCATGCTTCACCTCAAATTGGGGCCTTCTCTTTTACTTAACCGGTTTAAACCTGGGGTCGATGCTTAGCCGGTGTGTTGTTATTTCTAATGGGATCCCTGTCATATCTAGATGGGACCAAGCAAAACAATCCATATTATCGATAACAAATTGAATGAATTTTTTCCTGAGTTCGGGGATTAACCTCGTTCCAAGGTATACCTTTTTCTCGGGCATGTGCTCGATCAGTGTGACCTGTTCCAGTTCCTCGACCGTTGATTTGGTTGCGTCCTACTCTTTGGGAACAACGAAGGTTCGAGGAGTAAGGAAATCCTCTTCTTCCTCTTTGATTACCTATTCCTCCGGCTTGATCGGGACTGGGATCGGTGATTGCTATTTGGCCGCTTGCTTATCTTTGGCCCTCGATTTTTTCAAGGTCGAAGGAGTTGGTATCGGTGTCACTTCATTGACTGCAAACATTTCCTTTGCGGCATGTTGTTCTCCATAGACCGTTTTCACTCCTTCCGAGAAGTGCATTATACCTCATGTCGCCTTCGATGACATGTAATTTCGTATCTTGAATGGTTCCGACCACATTCACTGGTAGGATGATCTCCCCATTTGTTGTTTTGCTTGCCATGTTGAAGGCATTTAGGACTCGGGATGCAGCTATAATTTGATCCTGTAGGCCGAGCTGCTCTACGACCCTCGATCTGGTTATGTTTGCTGAGCTACCTAGATCCACTAGAACACATTTAACTTGAATTTTATTTAACAAAATAGAAATTACCAGGGCGTCATTATGTGTCTGAGATATGCCTTCCGCTTCCTCGTCATTGAATGATAGGATGCCCTTGGGCACGTAGCTCCGAGTCCATTTTTCTCTGGTGATCGACACCTTGGTGCATTTGAATATAGGCCCTTGTGGAACATCGATGCCGCCTACGATCATATGAATTACATGTTGCAGTTCTTCCTGCTCATTTTTCCTGTTTGCATTTCTTTCCCTGAAGTGGTTCTTAGCTCGATCACTAAGAAATTCTCGAATATGACCCTCGTTGAACAATCGAGCTACTTCTTCTCTCAGCTGCCTGCAGTCTTCGGTCCTATGACCATGTGTGCCATGATACTTACACATCAAGTTTGGATTCCTTTGAGAATGATCAGTTTGTATAGGCTTGGGCCACTTGGTTTCCTTGATTCTTCCAATATCTGATACGATCCCCGATGCATCTATACTGAAATTATACTCTGACAATCGAGGTGCTTCCACGAGATTGGTATGTTTATCAAATCCATTCTTACTCATGAGTCCCCAAGAGCTCTGACCTCGGTTATTTCTTCGATCGTTCCGAGGAGCGTTGTGCCCCGAACTGCTGTTTCTCTAATTGACATACGGCTGGTATCGTTCCTTGTTTGATCTTGATTCGCTGTCTGTATCCCTCGGGGGCTTAGCTGCCAATCTATTAGGATGAACTGAACCCGAGGGGGCTCTCGACTAGTCGTCCTCGACCCTGATCTTTGATTGGTAATGATTATGTACATCCGACCTCGTCACAACTAGATACTCGATCAGGTTCTACTTCAATTGTCGAGACGTGATCGAACTCCGCTCGTTCATATGTGACGACCCAAAGGGTCATCACCTGTTTTCTTATCCATTCTATGCTTCCGATGCCTTGAAAATCTCATTTAGAGTTGCCTAAATTTGCGTGTGCAGTCCGGGCACATAGCCGGAAAGCTTAAATATGAAATTCTGTGAAAATTGCTAAGTTTTGAGTTTAAAATGAATAAATTTGACTTCGGTCAATATTTTGGGTAAACGGACCCAGAACCATGATTTGACGGTCCCTGAGGGTCCGTAAGAAAATATGGAACTCGAGCGTATGCCCGGAATCGAATTCCGAGGTCCCGAGCTCGAGAAGTGAATTTTTTAAAGGAAATTGTTTTTCTGAAATTGTTAAGGAAAATTGAAATGAAATTTGATTGGAACGTATTGGTATTGGGCCCGTATTTTGGTTCTGGTGCCCGATACAGGTCTTATATATGATTTAAGATGTTTCTGTAAAGTTTGGTTAAAATCGGACGTCGTTTGACGTGTTTCGGACTTGAAATCTTAAATTTGAACTTGATGAAGTTTTTGGAAAAACTCTTGATTTTGAGGTTTGATTCATTGTTTTTAGGTTATTTTGACGATTTGATCGCATGGATAAGTTTGTATGATGTTGTTGAGTTAGTAAGTGTGTTTGGTTAGGAGCCCCGAGGGCTCGGGAGTGTTTCGGAGGTGTTTCGGAATGGTTTTTGGCCTTAGAAGTGTTGCAGATTTTCTGTTGTTGTGCACAGGGAATTTGTTCTTCGCGTTCGCGTGGACTCACTCGCGAACGCATAAGGCAAAATTCCCAAAAGTTCATCTTCTTCTTCGCGAACGCGAACATGAAGCTGAGGGGGGTAGACCCTTCACGAATGTGTCCCTTCTCTCGCGAATGCGTAGGGTACAGGGGGAAGGGCCACCAAATATGTTCAACGCGAACGCGAGGCTCGAGGAGATTACTCTCCGCGAACGCGAGCCCCTATGTCACGAACGCGAAGGTCTTCAGACATGGATCATCGCGAACGCGAAGGGCAATTTTGCCCAGTTATTTTAAAACCCCAAAACAGAACCATTACGGGATTTTCCCAAAACTTCACAAACTCCTTCTTCTCCAAAGTTCTAGGGCGACTTTTGAAGCATTTTTTCACCATTTACTCGTGGGTGAGTAATCTTTAACTCGTTTCCTTCATTTTTCATCAACATCTATTGAAATTCTAGGCCTAAAACATGTAATTAAGTGTAGAAATTAGGGAATTAGGTAAAGTTAGGGCTTTTTGATTTTTCTTGATTTAGACCTCGTTCTGGGGTCGAATTTGAAAACAAATTATATATTCGGGCTCGTGGGTGAATGGGTGATTTGATTTTGGTCCGAACATCATGTTTTGACCAAGCGGGCCCGGGGTCAATTTTTGGGATTTTGGGAAGAATGCTTGGAAAGCTATAATTAGGCATTGGGTTCGCATTGTTTAGCATTTATTGATGTATTGAAGTCATTATTGTATATATACAATCGATTTGGAGCCAAATTCGAGAGGAAAAGCGGTAATTGGGGATTGATTTGGCTGTGGAAGTTTGAGGTAAGTGTTTGGTCTAACCTTAGTTTGAGGGATTATGAGTTGAGTCTTATTTGCTACGTGCTAATTGTCGAGTATGACGTATAGGCATGGTGACGAGTATCTATACGTTGGTGTCTAGCATGACCATGAGTCTTTATATTGCAGATATTCTGATTTTGTTGTATCTTTCATGCCTTAATAATGATTTCTATATGTTGTAAAAAGCATGTGAAAGAAATTGTGATCTTTGAACTTCGAGGAGCATTGACTCGAGTTATATTACCAAGTGTGAAAGTATATGAAATGATTGAACCCTTTGGAGCGTTGGCTCAAGTGGTAAAGTGAGTTAAGAAGTAAAAGTAAAAGAAAGAGAAAGAGTTATTAAATTACTCTCTTGCCTGGATGTTTGTTGCTTTGTTGATTATCTCCCTTGCAGGGATGCTGAGATTATTGATATTGTTCCCTTTCCAGGATTTAACTGTTTAATTGTGTTCCCTTGCCGGGATTTCTATTATTATTTGTTTACTTCCTTGCCCCTTTGTTTGTGATTGTTGTTTGGGTGAGGAAGAGCGTTAAAGCACGAAGGGTGATGTTGTGCATTGTTTGCTGTTTTGAGGAAAGAGTGTAAAACACGAAGGGTGATGTCGTGCCGTACGATATAACATTCCGTATCGATTATCATTGACTATATGGTGAGGAAAGAGAGTAAAAGCACGAAGGGTGATGCCGTGTATTGTTTGCTATTGTGAGAAAAAAGTGTAAAGCACGAAGGGTGATGCCGTGCATATTGTTATTATATGATTGATTTGGTGAGGACGAGAGTAAAAGCACGAAGGGTGATGCCGTGCAAATTGTTGATTTCCGATTCTTGATGATATTCTAGTTATGTTGTTACTTTCGTTACTTGATGTTTTCTATTCGGAACCCTTATTTCCCCCACAATATGTTTCTCCTTCCCACATTTACTGCTTATTTTTGTATTTTTCCTTTCCGCTGTATATAAATAAATTGCACAGGTTTATTTGGTAGTCTGGTCCTAGCCTCGTCACTATTTCGTTGAGGTTAGGCTAGACACTTACCAGCACATGGGGTCGGTTGTGCTGATACTATAGTCTGTGCTCTTTTGTACAGATCCAGGTATTGGACAGCAGCAGTAGCGCGAGAGCTAGCCTTCAGTCCACCGAGACACCGAGGTAGCCTTGCAGGCGTCTGCAGGCCCGACGTCTCCTCTATCTTATATTTCATTCTGTTATCTCATGTATTCGAGACAAACGGTATTATATTTCTTTCAAACGGTTGTATTTAGTAATCTTAGTAGTTCGTGAGTGATGTGACACCAGTTTTTGGGTAGAGGCATATGTTGACTTTCGCATCATTGTTCAGCTTATTTAATTTAGGTTTTCCGCTTATTTATTTAATTTTGTTGTTTTCATGCTATCACTAATAATTGTTAAAAGAAGTAATTGGTTAATGAAAAAGGTAGTTAAGGGTTGGCTTGCCTAGCTCTCATTAGTAGGCGCCATCACGACTCCCAAGGGTGGGAAAATTCGGGTCGTGACATTAGACCCTGCATAAAAGCTTGTACTACCCAATCGTCCGAGACTGGTGGCAATTCCATCCGCTCCATATGAAACCGGGATACGAACTCCCTTAGTATCTCATTGTTCTTCTGCCTTATCTTAAAAATGTCTGATTTCCTTGTTACCACCTTTATGGCCCCGACGTGTGCTTTTACGAATGCATCTACTAACATAGCGAGCGAATCGATAGAGTTCGGGGGCAAATTGTGATACCAAATCATGGCTCCCTTAGACAAGGTTTCTCCAAACTTTTTCAACAAAACTGATTCTATCTCATCATTATTCAAGTCGTTTACTTTAATCATGCAAGTATACGAGGTAATATGTTCGTTGGGATCGGTTGTTCCATTGTATTTTGGTATATCGGGCATACGAAACTTCTTGGGGATAGGCATTGGAGTTGCGCTCGGAGGGAACGGCTTTTGTTTGAACTTTTTGGCATCCAAACCATTCAAAACCGGGGTTGCCCCCGGTATTTGCTCAACATGGGAGTTATAAGTCTCCACCTTTTTGTCATTATCCTCAATCTTCTTTTCCCAGGACACAATCCTCTTGGTGTGTTCTTCGAGCATCCTTATTATTGTGGGGTCAGTCCCCAAGTCGTTCTCGTTTGATCTTTCTGGCACCAGTTCAGTATGTCGAGTGTATCCTGGTTCGACTATACTTGAAGTTTTATTCTGACCTTGAAGTTGAGCGATGGCAATCTATTCAGCTTGTAGCATCTCGAATATCATTTGGAGGCTGATTCCTCCATCTCCTACACCATGTATTCTTTGGCCACCACATGTGACTTCCATGCGTACACTTGCTCTGGGGTCTGCGCCTAGATCCACATTCAAAGCAATATGTGAACTAACATCTACTGGTTCAGCATTTGGCACTTCCCCAGGGTTTATCGGTGGTACATCGACCCCTAAAGCAATTATGTTGTCATTTTCTCCGTGGAACCCAAGACCATCATCACCGTGTACGGGCGCATTCTGTGAGTTTGACATGTTTTATCCTGAAATCAAAGAATCTTTGACAAGAACAAGTGTGAAAAATAACGTGTGTTATTAGAATCAGTATCGAAATAAACACTATTATATTTAGCCCCACGGTGGGTGCCAAACTATTTACCTCAAAAATACGAGGAATAATTAAATTTGATTTGTGGTTTTAAAGATACGTGATTTAGTTCAATACCAATTAATAATAAAAAAAATATGAAGTATAGATGAAGGAATTAAGTAAGACCAAACCAGTAGATAAGTCAGTCTCGACCTCAAGTCCAAGTGTCCTCGAGATTGGTCAAGAACAATAAAGCAAGAATAATAAAGCTAAAGGACAATTCTGATGAATAATGAGCGAAAAGTAGAGAGTTTATTCTTTGCTAATGATTGGATGGATCTTTACAAATGATTGTCCCCTTTATATAAGAGGGGAACCCTAAAATAAGGTACATTTCCATTAAAAAATCTTATTGGGACAGTTGTCTAACCGCCTGGTACGGATTACTACTAATTCATACAAATCTATTCCGGGATTTACGCCACGATCTTGGGGACGTGGCAGGAATCTTGTCCTTCTGTAACAAACTCAT